TAAACTGTGCAAATAATGAGAAGAAATTCCAAATGACATATGGAAGGAATTATCTGTTGATCTAGGTTTAAAAATATCACCATCCTCTAAACAATCCAACATTCTTAAATATAGTCACTATCTGGCAACTGAGCCACCACTTTCATCATGCAATAATCATTTAGAGTATCTACTATGTGCCAAGTCATACACTAGACACTTGGTGTATAAACACAAATGAGACGATTATTGACTTTCAGCAATAATCTAGACAGAGCAGGCCAAAGGAGAAATAATGACATGTAAACAAATAAATCCAACAACAACAACAACCACAAAAAAGAGCCCATCCAGGGAACCCAAAAGTTAAAGTTTGTAACCTCAAGTGCAACTTTTGAGCAATCTTCCTACTTTAATACTTTAAGCCTTGAACTCCTATGACTGTAACTTTTGGCTGAAATTTGAAAGACAAGAAATCTTGAATAACAGGAAGATAATAGATTATTTTGCTTAAATTCAAAGCCCCAAAATAGGCGTCTTCAAGTTCTTTGCAGTTTTATACCTTATTCTTCTCCATTAGTAAGTGAAATAAAATCATCCTCAGTTCCCTAGTTTCACTAATACAATCTTCAATTCTTGCCTTTAAACTTCAACATAAAAATAGCCAATGTTTGTTTTGAATTTTACAGTTTAAAAAATTCTTTCAAATACTTTGCAGATCATTTGTTTCTCACTGTAGAACATTACTATCTTCATTTTACAGATGTAAAATGAAGTAACCTGAGACTCCAAGAAGTTAAATAATTTCCGCAAAGTTAAACAATTAACAATTGGAAGAGCTAGAATTGTAACCCTGGTCTTGGTGGCCAGATCCAAGTCTCCTTCTGTTGCATTGTACCAGGCTCTACTGATTTCTAACAGCCTCTCTACCTTCACTCCCTCCTTTCCTTTTTGCCTATTTCTATTATTACGATAATCTTACAACTGGTCTCCCTCCAGTGTAAAAGTATAAAATTAGGTCCCTTCCTCACAGTCCCTCCAGTTCCTGCTTAAATCATTTGGTAACACAGACCAATTTGCCAGAAAAAGGCATATAAGTACAAACATATACAAAGATTTTTTAACATAATGTCAAGCCCATTCACAGATGCCTCCCTAGATTAATAACTTTGCCTTACCCCCTCAGATATATGACATAAATCTCCAAATGACTCATCTCCTAAAACTCTTCCTTGATCATCTTTCAAGGCTCAAAACTTTCGTGGTTTCCCACTGCCTAGTAAATGAAAGAGAAATCCATAACCCTGACATTCCAGGCTATTCTTGTCTCTCTCTTCTAAGTTCACTAACAAACCCCAGATCCTGTATTCTAGGTAGTAATTGTTATCCTTCAAACATAGCTTTTGCTTTCTCACCACAGTACTCTAAACATTACATCTTATCTACCACCAGCCTCTACCTACACATGAACCCAACCTCTCTGCTTAAACAGACTCCATAATAGAACTCACTTTTCCCCCCACACATAGCCCATTCCATCTTTGAACTGTCCTAGTGTCAAAGAAATACAAAATAAACAACAGAAAACTCTTTCTTTGTATTAAAACAAAAATTATCTCCCTTTAACATTTGTGGTATCTGAAGCAAAAGGCAACAAACCTAATCCAGTCCCACACAATCTTTCCTTTCTGCTTGCCCTTCTTAGAGCACCGTGTCCTTTTCTCATCATGTGGCATGCAGAACTGAGCACAGTTCTCTCTGTTTGATGGAGACAGTGCTTTTCTCCCTGACAGTCACTTGAGCACAGAAAGAATAGCAAGGTTCTTCACTGCTTTGTCTGGACACCGTTCGTCAGTGCTACCCAAGACTGAATTAATTTCATGGGCAACCATATTGTATTGCTGAGTCTTATTAAAGTTGCAGGACACTAAAACCAGTGAGTTTTTCACTTATGCTGTATTTCAGCCAAATTTCCTGGAACTAAAGGCAGCATTTTATTTCATCCTTATTCCATATTGCTTGTTAGAATCAGCCTATCAAGATATTTTGCCAGGTGAGGAGAGGAAACTTAGAGGACCAGTCAATAAGTGCAGCAAACCACGATGACACGCGTATACCTATGGAACAAACCTGCACGTTCCACACATGTATTCTGGCTTTTTTTTTTTTTTTTTAGAAGACATTTTAAAAATTTGGTCTTCCCATATATGAAAAAAAAGAGATATTTTGCCATCATGATCCTACCTTCCAACATATTACTTGTCCCTCCCCTTCTTCTGGCACCCAAAAATGTAATCAATTTACCATCATTGTTTTTTTATCAGTTTAGCAATGAATATGTTGAACACGACAAAGATAATTGTCTGGTAATTCCACTTATTCTTCCCCATCATCATTCTTCAACTATCTCTCCTCTAAGCAAGTGGGTCTTAACCTAAGCAACTCCTAGGTCTCATCTCCAAAGATTCAGCAGATTTAGAGCAGGGGCTCAGGAACCTGGAATATTAACAAGCTAAATGGATCTAACGTTGTGGTAAAAATATCTCATTTTAAAAATGGTGCCTTAACTTTTTCTGGTTGTATCAGCAAAGTCAACATCTCCTTCCTCTCTGCTCCTATAACTACATAGTAAACTCTGTAACAGGAAGGATTCTATCTGACTTGTTCGCCACTGTATCTCTAGTACATAGCATGTACCTGAGAATAGTAAGTGCTCGATAATTATTTGTTAAGTGAATGAATTAATATGATTTTTATTGTTTATGCCACTCAGGTAACACAGGAATGTGTTAAATCCACTGGTAAACAGGTGGACTCTGAAGCTCAATTATATATCCAAATGGCCACTGGTATGTAAAATACAGGTTTGGTGAGGCTGGGAAGGCAAGGCGGGCAGATCACTTGAGGTCAGGAGTACAAGACCAGCCTGGCCAATGTGGTGAAACCCCGTCTCTATTAAAAATACAAAAATTAGCTGGGCATGATGACACACACCTGTAATCCTAGCTACTCAAGAGGCTGAGGCAGAAGAATCACTTAAACCTGGGGGGTGGAGGTTGCAGTAAGCCACGATCGTGCCATTGCACTCCAGCTGGGGCAACAAAGTGAGACTCCGTCTCAAAATAATAATAATAATAATAATAATAAATAAAATACATATTCTCTGTAGCACCTTGAATGTGGAAGATTACTGCACAAATATTTACTGAAATATAAAAATGGAAGAAAATAGAGATCCTAGGAACAAGGATATATGAGAATTTGGCATATGGCAGACAGCATAATCAGTGGATAAAGACTAGAATATTTAATAAAAAATGCTAGGAAAACTATCCATAAAGAAAAGTATAAGATTAGGTCCTTTCTTCATACCATATACTATAAACAAAAATAAACTGGAAAAATTAAAATTCTAAATATTAAAAGCAAAACTATAAAGGGTTTTAGGGAAAAAAAAGAGAATAAGGGCAAAGCAAAGATTTTTTAAATAAGAAATACAAAGCTTTTGTAAAACTTTTAAGAAAATTATGACACTTTTAAATATATTAAGATAGTTTTGTAAGAAAAAGACTATAAACAAGTAAAAGGACATGGTCCAGACTAGGAAAAAGTACTTGTAACACCTAACAACAAAGACCACACAAAACATATCCAAAAATTTAAAAAATCAATTACAAATAGACAAATAGCCCAATACAAAAACAGGTGAAGTATATGAACAAAGAATTCATGAAAGAGGAAGACATTGGTCAGGGAAATACAATTAAAAAGAAACCCTAAAACTTTGTGATTGGCAAAAAATTTAAAATTTTGATAGTCAAGTTTAGCTAGAGTCGTGAGGAAACAGGAACTTACACATTGCTGGGTTATAAACTGACACAACTTCTTCAAAGGATAAATTGGTAGGGCTTGACAAATTGATGGGAATCCATATTCTAGGACCCAGAAAAATGTCCCTATGTGCACACACCCAGTGAGACTGGTATCTGGTTGTTTATTGCAACATTGTTTTCTCTCAATGAAAGAATGGAAAGCAGCTAACTACACAGCAACAGGGGAATAAATAAACTGGTTCAGGCTTTCAATAGCAGTTAAAATTCATACGGCAGTTAAAGTGAATGAACAAATCTGCATGGATGGATTACAAGTACATAATGAAGCAAAGGTATGTACCATATGATATAACATAAGAAGAAATAGAAAAATTTCTGCTTGCAAAAATGTTTCAACAATATGGTACACATTTTTTTTTAAAACTTCATTGTGACAATGTTCAAAACACAAAATTAAAATAATACAATGAAACTCAACACATTGCTTTAATAATTATCAATATTTTGACAAGCATTGGTATACATATTTAAATACCAAAATTAATGCTGAGGACAGGGCCATTAACCAAGGCCCACAAAACAGCACTTAACAAAGAGAAAGGAGAGCCGGTTCTACTGCAGGATCTGCCACCATGAGCTCTGTGACTCTGGTGACTCTGCGTGACCTCTCCTCTGAACTGGGAAGACTTCAGAAAGGACTGATAAAATGTTTGGGACAAGATGAAATAATCAGGACTAAACTATAGGAAACCAAGAATGAAACAGATGCAACCTTTCTCAAAGGTACAAGACACCAAGACTCAAAGGATCAAAAACACTACAACTGCATTCCCTACTCCTTATCATTTATAACTAAGTAATCTAAGGTCTCTTCTACCTCTACAAAGATATAATTTCAGCCTCAGATATGTTCTTGGGGGGAGCACTGACATTGCTGCCTCCTCTCCAAAAACCCCTCTTCTTCTATTCTCCCTAAATCCGGAATTTGCTGTAACACCAGGGTAGCAAGTGGCTTTCTAAGTGCTCTCTTTGCTCCTTGTGTCACTCCCTCATTCCACAGGGCTGCTGGCACAAGCAGAGAAGGCTCATAGCCTGGCTCTGACACCTTGAGTGCTGTAGAGCATGAGGGGATTGGAATAACTGATGAATAGAAGCTACACGGGGTTGTTTGGGAAGGTGGACACATACCTCTTGAAACAATGTGCTGCTGTAAGGACCCAGCAGCTACTCAGGAGCGTAGCCCCGCAGAGGAGCCTGCCATCTCCATGGGATGACTTCAGCCGGAGGGAAACCTGCCAAGGCCAACCACCCCTAAGAAGAAGTAAAAAGCAAAGGAAAGCACTGGTTAAAGCAATGACTTTAATAACTTTAACGCCTTGCAGGCAGGGGAAAAGGAAAGCAAAAGGGACTCCAGGATACAATCCCTTCCTACTTTGAGAAGGAGACCCCACAGCTCTGAGCAGGCCTGGCATCAGCAACTCTGAAGATTTGCTTATAGGCATTTGTATAGATCCCACCTACCTGACACTCTTAGAAACAAGTTGTCTTCCTTATAGTTCATGATTTAAAGTGTAATTTCTCTCCTCACTCTACCTCACCTATGCAGTCTGAAGAACTATTTAATAAAGTTTTCCATTAGTAAATGCTACAAACAAAAAACTTAGATTAAACTGAGTCAAGTCTGAAACAAATACATTCTAAATTAAATGACTCTTTGTAGTTAAACACACTTCCAGGTCCCCTGTTAAATTATTTTGTTTGTGCCATGTAACTTTTCAGCAACACATCTAATCTCTTAAATCAGGCTGGTGATATAAGAACATGGTCTATACAAAGTAAACATAGGTCAAAGGACAGTGAAATTATCAGTGAAATCTGAATTTAGTTTAGAAAATAAAATGAGCACAAGTCTCTTATATAACAGAACATCCCCAGTTTGTAACACTCTATGTATATAAATAATTCTGTAATATAAAAAGTCTCTTTTGAAGGAACTTTTACCTTAAAGAATTTTTCCCGCCAATGATCCGCTTCTGCCGACGGTGCAGTAATCTCAAGCCACAAACAGATGAGAGGGACTCTGAAGCAGAAATAGGTCATTAATTAAGCTATCACATTGCTGATGGAGGGGTAAGACGATAACTGACATACTCCACTGATGCTTCCTCCTCTATGTCAAAATGCCTTTTCTCTGCAAATTAAAATTTTTCTTGTAACAAAAATAGTTTTCTCATTTGATTAAATGGCAATAATTTGCAAGTAGACAAGAAACATTATGAGGTTTCCCATTCTTCACCTCTGACGGGTTCATGGGCTGCTGACTGGTTTGACTCTGTCCAGTACTTCATCCTGGTAGGTACCTATATCTCCTGCTGCTGCTATTTTGTATAAAGTATGGAACAAAATGTATGGAACATTAAACAAAATAAGAGAACTGCAAAGGCAGTAATGGCCTAAATTACTTACTTTCCACACACAACACTGTTCTAAGTCACATATAAAAATGTAACTCAGGGCTGGGCGTGGTGGCTCAAGCCTGTAATCCCAACACTTTGGGAGGCCGAGACGGGCAGATCACAAGGTCAGGAGATCGAGACCATCCTGGCTAACACAGTGAAACCCCGTCTCTACTAAAAAATACAAAAAAACTAGCCGGGCGAGGTGGCGCGCGCCTGTAGTCCCAGCTACTCAGGAGGCTGAGGCAGGAGAATGGCGTAAACCCGGGAGGCGGAGCTTGCAGTGAGCTGAGATCCGGCCACTGCACTCCAGCCTGGGCGGCAGAGCAAGACTCCATCTCAAAAAAAAAAAAAAAAAAAAAAAATGTAACTCAGAAGAGCAAAGCACATTCCCAGGCTAGAATTCTGATGTGAATTTATGTTTACTTAGCATGTCAACATACGGAAATGGTTTGCTAAGCCAATTTAAGTGGTAAACTATGGTTAAGGCTATACAGGCAAACCTCCCAAGGTAACAGTCTTCTGTCAAGAACATACAAAAAAAAAAAGAAATTAAAAATATGTGAAAAGCTGGTATGTGAAAGAAAGGCAAATATAACAGGCATGACTAATTTTTAAAATATTTCAGAAAATAGGAGAATTTATATAGAGGTACTTTGTTTATTTGGTTAAATATATGTGTATAAAGTACAGATATGTAGTTTTTCTATCTAAGGGGAGGACAGTGGGAATTGTGCCAAGAACAGGAAGACCTAATCAACCCTAATGGTCTCCCATAATAACCAGGTAGAAGGGAGCCCAATAGGGAATCAGCAATAGTTATTTCTTGATGGAGAAAGAGGTTCAACAGTGTGTACCAAGATGATTAATTTGCCAAATGATATCAGAGGTATGCTGTCAAACTTTAACCTTCATCTCTTAGAATATGAGTCCTCTAGATGACACTGCAAATTGTAAGATATTAGAAAAAACATAAGTTTCCAATAATGCTCCAAGTTGGGTCAATGTATATGATGCCAAGGAAAGGAATGATGTAATATTTAAAATAAGCAAAATTTTAAGTTTACATCATTCTGGGGCAAAGAACCAGACTGCAAGAAAGTAAACTCTATTTAAAGTCATACACTATTATTTAAAAATTTTACAAGAAAAACGAAGTTCATTTTTAAAAGGAGACCATCAGATAACCAATAACTAATGGCTTCAGTTTGAATCACCTTATAGATGTTACCAGGTGCTGAGTATCAACATAAAATCAACTGGTTAATATGCCAGATTCTGTAATCTAGCTAGGCTAAGATGAAATCTTTTTACTTGAAATATGGTAGCATTGCCATAACCATGGAAAGGTATCAAAAAGATTATTGCTATAATTCTAGGAAGGCATTAAAAATGAACATATAAATAATGATTTTTTAATGTTTTTCAACTACTTACAGAATTTCACATAATTCAAAGAATCAGTTATGTCCCATTTGTAATGGTAATTAAAATTATTAAAGGGAATTTAGTAAATTAAGTTATAATCAGAATTCAGGGGGAAAGGGCTGGCCAAGTCATTTGCATATATACATAGATCTATACACACACACATATATACACACACATATATACACATTCATAAATAAAAATATATTTAATATATATATGAATAGAAAATAAAGTGCAAAGGATTGTAAGTGTTCTTTTCACAATCAGAAGCCCCTCAGACAGCAAAGAATCATATTAACGACATCCAATTCATTTGTTGCGTTGTCTTTGGCAGCTATTAAAAGGTGTTAGAAAAAGAGAACTCTCAAATATAGGTGCACCTGATTTTAACAAAATCCAGAGTATCAGAACTATAAACTTTCAATCCAGATAAAGAAGTGACTGTTCTTTTCATAAAATGTACCACAAATTTCTCCAAAATAGCCCATTCTCTCAGTCATTTAAAGAATGTTTCATAAAAATTAAATAGGCCGGGCGCGGTGGCTCACACCTGTAATCCTAGCAGTTCAGGAGACCCAGGTGGGCGGATCACCTGAGGTCAGGAGTTCAACACCAGCCTAGACAACACAGTGAAACCCCCATCTCTACTAAAAATACAAAAATTAGCCGGGCATGGTGGCAGGCGCCTGTAATCCTAGTTACTTGGGAGGCTGAGGCAGGAGAATCACTTGAACCCGGGAGGTGGAGGTTGCAGTAAGCCGAGTTGTGCCACTGCACTCAAGCCTCAGTGACAAAGCAAGACTCCGTCTCAAAATAAATAAATAGATAAATAATAATAAATGTACACAGAGCTTACAAGAACTCTATTCACTTAAACTATGAAACATTACTGTATCATACGAAAGGATTACTTATCATTTTCCTTAAATTTTTAAACTTCAGAGAATAAAATATACAAAAGATCATTTTCTTTTCGAAATTCATTTTTAAATATCCTTGTTGAAAATATTAGTAAGACTTTAGAAATGCCTTTAATTCATTTCCATATTTTCAGTACTTTCCTTTTTATGAAGTCAATATCAATTCTGGATCTTCAAAGATAGCAACAAGCATGAGAGCTTTATTACATCTAAAAAAGGAAATACAGAAATGGCTAAGAAAGTGAAAAGGGGATGATCCCAGAGATTATAAGGCCCCGTAAATTCACTCCTACCCCTGACCCTTGTTCTACCTGTCAGCCCCACCTAGGCAAGTTTGCCAAGAACTACTGGATCTAAGTAATAGCACAAGACATGGGCCTGTATATGTTCTTGTTGTACTTGATTTCTGTTATCAAAGTACTGCTTATAGTGATAGAGTGGGAATTAGTATTCTTTGACTTGTTTAGGGCTCCAGAAGGTGACTTACCTTTATTACTGTTACCTGAGGCCTTCTTGCCAAAATAATCACAAATAACTCCTGCATCTTCACTGTGGCGGCAGTTGTGTCTTCCAATATCTTGCTTGATACAGTCAGCCAAGGACCTCTCATTTCCTGTGCACTTCACATTATCCACATGGATGGGTCCTTTTCCTTCTCCAAAATAAGCCATGGTTCTTGCTCTGGCAGGACCCCTGAAGATAGAACATTCTTAATGATGTGAAGAATCCGTCAATCATATATCTGAATAAATCACAACATGTATTCAATTTTATTCCTTAATTTTTACATATTAAAATTAGCATCTGCATGTGCTAAAAACCATTTGTTTCATGACTGTTAAAAAAATTAAATTAAAAAGGTAATAATTATACCTTCTCTGTTGCCATACTCCACAGCCACTTTATTATATCACTTACCTCTAATTTAGCTTTTTCTAAGAAACTCACATTTAATGGCACATCAAAAAATCATGATAGTCTTTAACTCTCGTTTAAGCAGGAAAAAAATACCTCTAAATTTCCTACCCTCTTAAAGAGTATAATACTCTCTTAGTATTGGTATAATATTGTGAAGAAAACGATGAGATTAAATAATAACCTAAGAGCTAAGAACTAATTTTTTGCCTCCTTTAGAAGAAAAAAAGTACAATTTTTTTAGGCCAGGCACGTTGGCTCACGCCTGTAATCCCAACATTTTGGGAGGCCGAGGCGGGTGGATCACCTGAGGTCAGGAGTTCAAGACCAGCCTAGCTAACATGGTGAAACCGTTTCTACTAAAAATACAAAAATTTAGCTGGGCGTGGTGGTGTGTGCTTGTAAGTACTTGGGAGGCTGAGGCCGGAGAATCACTTGAACCCAGGAGGCGGAAGCTGTAGTGAGCCCGAGATCATGCCATTGCACTCCAGCTTGGGCAACAAGAGCAGAACTCTGTCTCAAAATAAATAAATAAATTAATTAATTAATTAAATTAGCTGGGCATGTGGTCCCAGCTACTCTGGAGGCTGAGGCAGGAGAATGGCTTGAACCCAGGAAGCAGATATTGCAGTGAGTCGAGATCATGCCATTGCATTCCAGCCTGGGTGACAAAGCGAGACTCGTCTCAAAAAAAAAAAAAAAAAAAAAGCACAATTTTTTAATATTTATTTACTTTTTTTTTTTTTAAGACAGAGTCTCATTTTGTCACCCAGGCTGGAGTGCAATGGCGTGATCTCAGCTCACAGCAGCCTTGACCTCTTGGGCTCAAGAGACCCTCTCACCTCATCCCCACAAGTAGCTGGGACTATAGGCACATGCCACCATGCCTGGCTAATTTGTTTGTATTTGTAGTAGAAACGGAGTTTCACCATGTTGCCCAGGCTAATCTCAAACTCCTGACTTCAAGCAATCCATCCACCTTGGCCTCTCAAAGTGCTAGGATTACAGGAGTGAGCTGCTGCACCTGGCCTAAAAATACAATTTTTAACAGAGACAGAGAAAAACAGGAATCATAACTAGATGGCAGACTTACTTTTAGTTTATTAACTTTTTTGTTTTAATAACACATTTTAAAGTATGCAAATGCAAAAATATTTAAATGAAATAAGTATTTCAAACTAACGCCATATTTAGAACTCAATTTCTGATAAATTAATGAAATAGTTATCAAAGGCAAAAGCTTTCACGCAAATTAATGAAATAGTTATCAAACGCAAAAGCTTTCCAGATGAATTACTGGAAAACTATCCTTGAAATCTCAAGTTAGGGAAAAACTTAATACAGTGGACATAAAGGGTATAAACTATAAATTTTAAAATTGATAAACTTAGCAAAAATTAAATTAAGACTGTAGCTTTACTAAAAACTACCCTAAGGAAAGTGAAAAGATAAATTTAAAAGTTGATATTTGTAGAAATATATTTGTTAGTGAATATACTTTCCAATAGAGAATAATGGCATACAATATACAAAGAAATCATTTTAAAAAATCAGTAATCTGTTTTTAACAAAGCTCTAGGTGATTCTTCTGCAGATACTTCTGCATCAAACTTTGGCAAAGAAAACTAAGTTATTTCTCCATTGTTGCACATGTGTTTTAAAATTATTAGACTTCTTAAAATTATATATATATATCCTCATACATAAATCTTTGTGGGCAGCTTACATTTCTTCCTAGAAGTTTTATTCTATTTTTTTATATTTTTTAATTAATTAATTAACTATATTATTTATTGTATTATTTTTTAATTTTATGTATTTATTGTATATCACAGTTCTTGTCTGTCTGAAATTTATTTCTGTTTAATGTTAATAAGAAATCTAGCTTTATTTTTGTCCCTAAAGTAGTTGTCCCAATAATCAGCTGATTTGAAAGGCTTTCTTATTTATCAAGCTATGTGTGCACAAGCCATTTCTTGGTCTTTATAGTTCAGTAATTCACAACCTTAGCTCCCCATCAGAATTGCCTTTGAAAACACTTAAAATATAGCAAAACCTAAACCTTACCTCACTTTGAATCAAAGTAGAATGAATAGTATTTTTTTAAGTTCCAAAATGATTTCAATCTACAACCAAGGTTGATAGCCACTGCTGCAATGTCACTGACCTCTTTAACTATTCCTGTGCTAGTACCACATGGATTGGATTTCAGATGAATCTGGAAGTCAAATCTCCCTCCCCATCCCACATGCACACCAAGAAAAATGAAAGATTTTTACTAGCATAGTATTTGATGTATAAATTTATTTCTATTTTGTCTTCACATTCAGGATTGCGGTATGTCTCTTCATTGATAAGGTCTTCTAGCATTAGTAAAGACTTAGGTTTTTCACATAGGTCTCAGTTCTTACAAAGTTTTTGTAACTTCTACAAATCTTTTTTTTCTTTTTATTTTCTACTTATCCCACAGGCAGACCACTGCCTTTTAAGTATTTATGTTTTATCTTGTTACATTAATAAACACTAGTTCTAGTCTCTTTCCAGTTGATTCTCTTGGGTTTTCTAGGTGAACAATCATATTATTCATATAAATATTCTGACCCTTCCTTTTCAATACTGATACCTCAATTCTTAATGCTTTAGTGCAACCTCCAGACAATGCTGTCATTGCAGTAATGGCAGGCACTCTTTTGTTCCTATTTGATGCTTATTTGTGATATAAAATTAAAGCAGTTTAATTTTGTTCTCAGCTTCCTAAGAGATTTCAGGAAGGAATATTTATTTTATCATATAACTTTTCAACATTTTTAACATGATCATATTTGTTTAATCATTTTTAAAATTGTTGTATATTTATGGGTGACACACTGAATTACATTAATTGGATGCCTCAGTTTGAATCACTCTTACATTCCTACAACAGACTGCACTTATTGGTGATATATTGCTCTTCTAATACATCGTTGAATTACATTTTGCTAATATTTTGTTAGCAAAATAACTTTGTATGTAGATTCATTAGATTGAGGTATAGTTTTGTTTTTTGTGTTTACTTACCTAGTCTTGAAATCAAATTAAATTAGCTTCATAAAATGAATGGAAAGATTTCCATACATTTCTTTGCTCTGCAACAATTCATGCAATTCAGAAACTGTCTCTGAAGGACTGGTGAAAAGTCCAGCAAAAAAATCAGTCATTTCTTTCATAGCCATTAATCTAATTGGGGTTTCTATCTCCTATATCAATTTTGATAATAACGTTTTTGTTGAAAACGTAGTTTCCCAGATAATCATCCATTTCATCTAGATTTTCAAGTGTATTTGCTAAAAGTAGTTCATATTATTATTATTATTATTATTATTATTATTTGAGATGGAGTCTCACTCTGTTGCCCAGGGCTGGAGTGCAATGGCACAATCTCGGCTTACTGCAACCTCTCCCTTCTTGGTTCAAGCAATTCTCCTGCCTCAGCCTCCCAAGTGGCTGGGATTAGAGGCATAAGCCACCACAGCCAGCTAATTTTTGTATTTTTAGTAGAGACGGGGTTTCACCATGTTGCCAGGCTGGTCTTGAACTCCTGGCCTCGAGAGATCTGCCCGCCTCAGCCTCCCAAAGTGCTGGGATTACAGGCATGAGCCGCCATGCCCAGCTGTATTATTAATCTACTAGGGTTTTTGTTTAACCTTCTATATATCTGTGCTTAAATTTCTTTTCTGTTCTCTATGTTTACTTGCATTGTCTCTCCTTTTTCTTAGGCAAAATTACATAAGATTGTTAAGACTGTTGTTTATTAACCTTCTTTAAAAATAAAAATAATTGCTGATAATGTGTAGATATAATGTAAAGAAATTTGAAGTTCAAATCGGCATAATTTGAAGACAATAAAAAATTAATAGAATTTGGAAACAAAAATTTCAGATTATTCCCAGCAGTTTCAGAGGTGAGAATGGGTGGAGGTAGAAAGTAAACAACAGTATGTTAAATGTCTTTATCTTTTTCAGGAAGGAGAAGTTACAGATAATAATTTTTGAAATTATTAAGAAAATATGTTTCAGTATGCTTGCTAAAAATTTAAAAAGAACTTCTAGAAAAACAATAAGAATGTTGAATTTCTAGACCACTGAGAAAAAATGAAAATTGAAAATTGAATTAATCATGCAAATCAAAAAATCAGACGATTACACACACACACAAAAAAAACAGAAAATAAAGCATGATAAATAACATAAAACTAGATGGCAGGTAGAAGTAAACATACAGAAAATAAAATTTAACTCATTTAAATAAACCAAAAGCATCATTTCTTAGCAAATGATCAACTTACAGACTAAAAAAAAGCACCATTTTAGATACATCAATAAGTTGAAATTAGAGAACATTTTAACTAATAACAGCACATGATTAAAGAAATTCTCATTGATATAGTGAAATCTAACATATTTTCTTTTGACTACTCTTTCTTTAGACAATTAAGGACTCTGCCATCCATAGAAAAAAGCTTCTCATGGGCTTACTGAATCTAGCAATTCATAGCTGAAAATTTCAATGACACAACGGTTTCTAATAACTAGTCTTTAAACTGGATGTCAACTGCTCCTGGTAGATAGTAACTTTCCAAGAGATACACAGGCTCTAAAGGAATCAATTTTTATATCCTCAAATTTCACATATATTCTTTCTTAAAAATAATCTTGCTGCTATCAAGATCAAACTTCTCTTTCAAAATTTCCCTTCTCTCACTTCACAAAAAGCGTATCTTACACTCATTCCAAATCCTACCACAGTGCATTTCTCCAAAGTTTGAAAGCCTCTAAAGTAGACAAAAGAAAAATTCAAAATATATGATAGCAATGAAGCTTCCTTAACCCAAGCAACACAAACCCAACCCATTGTTCTAATTAAGAAATGAGAGCTTTGGTAAACTTTTATTTTCTATGTTTAATAATTATTTAATAATTTTATTAAATTTTTTGTTGTTTATTATCAGTTGTATACTAGAAATTACAAAATCTAGAGACACCTGAAACTTCCTAGCATAATTTTTCTCTGTCTCCATGTACATATGTGTGCATATAGCTGTATATATGCACACACGTGTATATGTATACGTGTATGTGTGCATATATGTGTGTGTATATACATATACACACATATTTTTAAGGCATAATAACATTGAGATTCCGTGGGGGAAGAAAATTTAAAATACGATTTCAAGGAGAATAAAAAACTGTAAAATTTCTGGTCAAAGAAGTATCTTTTGTTCATGTATTTTTTTTAAATTGATAGCAGAATCAAATTACTATATTTATATTTTACTGAATATAATTAAGAGTGGTGTAACTGTTTTATATTCAAATATCATACAAATATGCCAGAAATTAAGTCCTTTGCAGCTATTTAAATGTAAAATAGATACCAGATATACTTAATTTTAGATCTCTACTAAAGCAGTAAGAATATACAATTTTTAAAAATTTTTTAAGGATTAATATGCTAACAAATATGTTCAAAAACAACGTTATACTGGAACATATGCTAATGGATCCACATAAAGTGTAAAAATGGAATTTCTATCATGACTACTTAGTATATCTCAATGAATTTAACTGATCTCAACACATTATCAACAATCTACAAACAATATGCTCATATACTAGACTTTGTCAGACATTATGTAATGCATCATTAAATAATGCCTTTTACTTTCTGTTCACTTTAATCGGATCTGTATTAGTTACCATTCACATTTCCTTTTTTATTATCTCATTTCTGTCTTTCCCATTATTAAAAGGCTTTCTAATACTATTTTGATTCTCAGTGTTTCCAAGGACTGGCTGGAGGAGAGATCTCTGAAATTCCTATTTATGAGGCTCAAACCTTATAACAGCTTCAAAGTTTCCTGGATTCATTTCTACAAATAAGCCCTTTATTAAATATTTTTTGTGATTCAAAATAGACATGATGAAAATTATTTATATACATATGTTCTTATATGAAATCCAATTTCCCCTCAGCGGGAAATTATAAAAATATGCAAGTATATTTAGATTAATCAAATAGCTAAACAATTCTCATTTAAATACTATTTGATGGCAAATTGCAAATTATGTTATCTAGTTTGTTACGGTAACATTAAATTACTGAATTACTTATAAGACTATTTAAAACACGATTATAAAGTCTTTTGATGCTTTTCTTGATTGATAAGTATTACAGAAATATTGAAAGCTGCAACAAACTTTGTTCACTTAATCTAGATTGTGTTTCTCATCTAAAATCACTTTTTTCTGCTTTAATGAGGTATAATTGATATAAAAAATCTTCATCAGTTTGGACATATGCATGTATCTGTGATACCATTACCACAACCAAGGTGCTAAATATATCCTTCACCTCCAAAAATTTCCTTGTGTTCTTTTCCGAGGTTGGTTTGTTTGTTTTGTTCTTTATGTTCTGTTTTGGTTTTCATTTGGTTTTGGTAAGAACACAAATAAGATCTATACCCTCAGCATATTTTGAAGTATATAGTACCATATTATTAACTATAGGTACTATATTGTACAGTAGATCTTTAGAACTTATTCATCTTGCATGACAGAAACTTTATATCCATTGAAAAATAATTTCCCATTTTCTTCTCCTCCCAACCCCTGATAACCACCATTCTATTTCTGCTTCCATAAGTTTGACTATTTTAGATATATCATATAAGTGGAATCATGTAGTATTTGTCTTTCAGTAACTGTATATATATGCATACCACGTTTTCTTAATCCACTCATTTAGGCTGTTTCCATATCTTGGCTATTGCAAATAATGCTGCATTGAACATGGGAGTGCAGATATTTCTTTGACGTTCTAATTTCAATTATTTCGGCCATATACCCAAAAATGGGATATCTAGATCATATGGTAGTTCTACTTTTAACTTTTTAAGGAACTATTTTCCATACTGTTTCCATATTATTTTCCACAGTGGCTGTACCATTCTACATTCCCACCAACAGTGTATAAGGGTTCCAGTTTCTCCACATCCTCACTAACAGTTGCTACTCTTTGTTGTTTTGATCATAGCCATCCTAACATGAGGCTAAATTCACTTTTGAGTTAAATGCTAAATGGACTAAATGATTGTGTTAGGCCATTCTTCCATTGCTATAAAAAAATACCTGTGACTGTGTAATTTATAAAGAAAAGAGGTTTAATTGGCTCATAGCTCTACAGGCTTTACAGGAAGCTTGGTGCTGGCATCTGCTTGGCTTTTGCTGAAGTCCAGGGAGTTTTCAATCATGGCAGAAAGTGAAGGGGGAACAGACAAGTCACACAGCAAAAGTAGCAGCAGAAAGCAGGGTGGAAGGGTGCCATACACTTTTAAACAACCAGATATCATGTGAACTCAGGGCATGAGCTCATTTATCAGCAAGGGGATGGCCTAAGCCATTCATGAGGGATCTGCCCCCATGATCCAAACACCTCCCACCAGATCCCACCTCCAATATTATGGATTACATCTCAACATGAGATTTGGGTGGGGACAAATGTCCAAACTATATCAATGATGATAAATAAAAAGCAATCAACAATTTAGAAAGAAATTCAAGTAATAACACACAATTATGTGTGTATTGATGATGCTTGATGAACACGTTTAGGATATTTTTCTCTCCTTAAACTTAGCTGAGACACAATTTGAAGATCAACTTTGGTGCCAATCCTTCCCTTTGTATTTCCAAAGGTAATACTAGGCTTCTTGGATCACCTCCACCAAAACAATAAAATTAAAATATGGCCAAGAAACCAGTCTTAAAGAGCAGTATCTTTTAATGGCTGATTTTGGGTGAGGAAATGTATTGGGAATGTAATTTCTTTCTCAAATGGAAAAAGGAGTGATAGAAACACAGTGAGCAAAATATATTTAAAATTAATCACTGACTAAATTCACTTTCACATCTAATGTAGACTCTCCCTACTTTACTGTCCCATATTCTGAAAATTGAAAATTTATATCACAAATGAAGGGTTAATTGGCTGTAGGACAACTGGAATTGCAACTGGGTCCAAAACTATGCCATAAATTGAAGTAGTATCGAGTAACCAGAAACAATCAAATCAAATCAATATGTGGCCAGTATTTTCAAATGAATGACAGAAGCTCATTTTAAGTAAGAAGTAACTCTTTAGAATAAGCATTTAAAAATTCAGATATGCTCATCAGTAACCATCCCAAATAATTAGGTTTTCCTTACTTATAGCCAAGATGATGACAGATCACAGCTGAAGTTTACCCCCAACATTTTAACTTTTATTAAAACAGAAATGCTTTTTAAAATAAACGTGTATTATTTATAGAAAATAACCATATGAACTGTCCAATATTTAAGATGCACACAGATATACAATTAAGGATATATTTTTAAATCCAAATTACTATTAGTAATCTACTCTGAGCTAGGCAATTTATATATATTATCTTAAATTTATAACCCTCTGCATTATAACATTTTCCATATTTTTGTCACTTCAAAATCATTACTTAGGGTGCTTTCACAGTCATTCATGACATATGCAGAACCAAGTAAAATTTTAAATTACCCAGCTGAAGTCTAACCAACAGGAGATGACCTGCCTTCTTTTTTCCTCCTTTCATATTGTAAACACGTGTCCTTTTCACATTCTATTTAGTGCCATGTTCTTATTGTAACTCACGCCTGAGTGAAGCTTATCTAATGCATGCATTTTCTCTCAAAGTCACATCACAGCCTTTCTGCACTTAGGAACACTACACAGCACTTCGGTACTACAAATGGGGGCCATTTTAAACAGTGAAGTCATCAGCAAAGAAAGCACAGAAATGCAAAAAAAAAAAAAAAAAAAAAAAAAAAAAAAAAAAAAAATTGGCACCACACAGACCGTAAAAAAGGACAACTGTTTACAACTATGAAAGCTGAAACAAGAATGGAGAGCAGTGGCCTCAGCTCTAGGAGCAATGGCTCAGCATTTGCTAATTCCGTGTCCACAGCGACACGAGAACCAACAGTAATTTCAATAACTCTAGAGTCCCTTAAAAGGCTACAATGTTGAAACATTTATCACAGAGAAAAGGTTAACTGAGAGCAGCTGATACAAGCAGTATTATGACTAGTCAGAGTTATTAGACGATTTTGTTATTAGATAAAAAGCTACATTTCTTATGTGACATAATATTTCTTGTGAGAAGATAGAAAAATGTGAAGAGGATCTACTTATTACTTCTTTTTAATTCTGGATCAAAACAATATGCGGCCACTATTTTCAAATGAATGACAGAAGCTCGTTTTAAGTAAGAGGTAACTCATTAAAATAAGCATTTAAAAATTCAGATATGCTCATCAGTAACCATCCCAAAAATTAGGTTTTCCTTACTTATAGCCAAGTTGACGACAGATCACAGCTGCATCCTTATCAGTCCATCCATCATCACAGATTGTTCCCCACTGGCCATTGATAAAAACTTCCACTCGTCCTTCTTTCTTATTTTCTCCATCCATCAGTCTGACAGGAAAACCTAAGTCATGATTCAAAAGTATTAGAACAGCCCAAACCAGCAAACTGATGCTAAAGCATGAGCGACTCTACAAAACACAATTGTTCTTTTTAAATCAGCTATAAAATCAGATGGGAAATACTTTTTTTGAGAGAGAGGAGATATATCAATAAAAATTTTATTCATTTTTGCAGTGTCTCTTGCAGCCTTGAATTCAAAGTGCTCACCTTGCTCAACCTTGTATCCCCAGACTGTGGAACAGTGCCTGGCATATAGAGGATAGGCAATCACTGTTTGTTGAATGAATGAATGGCATTATAAAACCGTGAATTACTTTATTACACCTTACTTCTAAATAGTAAAAGAACATTAACTTGAGGTTGTTTTTGCTTCATGTCTGTTCATTTATCCGTGAACAGAGCTAGAAGTTTATACTCCAAAGTCAAGATTTTTAGGAAGATAGAAACAGACACAACCTTGGTATTCATAGTTAGGTAACTTGATTGAAGTCTAATGCTGGAGGAGGCAAAAAAAGAAAGAAAAAGAAAAAAAAAGAAAAGCAGTAAATAGGGACAATTTCCATCTAAGGCTTTCTATTGATTTTAAGGGAAAGAATTAAGTCACAAAAATTACTGACTTAAAAGTTGAGAAACTGAACTCTAGCAAATTAAGATTTATCTAAGTTAATACAAATGAAGGGATTTGTAAAGTGTCACATATCACCACACCAATAATTATGATGTTGAATTGAAACTCCTCACTGTGACTTGCATGGGTTGAATTGTGAGGTCATTAGGGTGGGCCCTAATCAGATATGCTGGTATTCCCATAAAATGGAGAAATTTGGACATGAAGAGGATGATGTGAAGAGACATGGGGAGAGGACTGCCATATACAAGCTAAGGAGAGAGGCCCGGAGCATCTCTCTCTCACACAGTTCTTTTTGAAGGAATGAACCCTACTGACATTTGATTGTGGACTCCTAGCCCCCAGAACTGTGAAACAATAAATATCTGTGTTTAAGCCACCTCTGTGGAACTTTGTTACAGCAACCCAAGCAAGCTAACACTCACACATCTGATTGCCTAGTTACTAGAAGGGTCTCCAGCTTCAGGGCCAAAATTTATTGGTAAGGATTTAGGGAATACAATAAAGCATGGTAAAATTATCAGTAGAACTAAGGAGGTAGAAGTCTGCAGGTAATGGGCAATATATTATTTAATATATGTTTAAACCAATATGTGAAGTTACTAAATCAACATTGGTTAACTAAAAGAAAATATTGTTAGCAAGATGGACACATTCTATTTTTATTCTTCTGACCCATTTTTTACTTCTCCATCCTTCTGCGTTGCCCCAAGAGTTGCTGGCTCCCCAGTGTCTATCCCTAATCATGTTCACTTCATGGGACAGGCAGTATATAGCAGAATCACATAGCAAAATCAAACTCACATATGTTTATGGAGTGCCAACTCTATGTATGCACTGCTCACTATTAGCTGAATAAAAACTTGGAGTTTCAGCTATGTCATAAAACACAATATCGAAACTTTGTATTTCTTATTAATGTATCTGAAATTTGGGAGTTCTTTCCAAGAACAGAAAGTGAAAAAGTGATCCTCAGATACCAAAATCAAACAAATGAAATTCTTTTCTTAAAGTTTTCACTTTTTACATTTTTGGATATTTGGTTCAAAATTAAGAAAACATTTGCACATGAAATTAGACCTACATGTTCCATTCTGGTAGTTTTATAGGTACTTTTTCATATACTCTGAAAATACAAATGATAAAGTGTTTTTAAAGTCTAACGTGCATGGCTTTGTAAAAATAATGCATAAAATATTTCTGAACCTAATTTTAGCCATTCATTCTACAAAATCATTAAATTCTTAATTCTTGAAGGGAAATTGGATGACAAAAGTCATGCCATCCATACGTTGTCACTATTAAGTTTGCGTTGTTATGGAAATAATAACACATAACGTTTTATTTCTAAAATCTTAAATAGATAAAATTTTTGGGAAACCTAAACAATCCTATAGGTATACAGTTATCTTTAAAATATATCTCAAGTTGACTTTCAGTAGTTTTCTTCAATTTTTCCTGTAACATAATACATTATTTTTAGAAAATAATACTGTCTGTTAGAAAAAAAGATAAATTCTAGGCCGGGCGTGGTGGCTCACGCCTGTAATTCCTGCACTTTGGGAGGCCGAGGCGGGCGGATCACGAGGTCAGGAGATCAAGACCATCCTGGCTAACGAGGTGAAACCCCGTCTCTACTAAAATACAAAAAATTAGCCGGGCGCGGTGGCGGGCGCCTGTAGTCCCAGCTACTCGGGAGGCTGAGGCAGGAGAATGGCGTGAACCCGGGAGGCGGAGCTTGCAGTGAGCCGAGATGGTGCCACTGCACTCCAGCCTGGGGGACAGAGTGAAGACTCCGCCTCAAAAAAAAAAAAAAGAAAAAAAAAAAAAGATAAATTCTAACATGCATACATACACATTAAAAGCCTAATTTTAGGCTGGGCTCAGTGGCTCACGCCTGTAATCCCAGCACTTTGGGCACCAAGGCAGGCAGATCACCTGAGGTCAGGAGTTTGGGGCCAGCCTGGCCAACATGGCAAAACCCCATCTCTACTAAAAACGCAAATATTAGCTGGGCGTGGTGGCAGGTGCCTGTAATTCCAGTTACTCGGGAGGCTGAGGCAGGAGAATTGCTTGAACCCAGGGGATGGAGGTTGCAGTGAGCTGAGATTGTGCCATTGCACTCCAGCCTGGGTGACAGAGAGAGACTCAGTCTCAATAAATAAATTAATTAATGTAATTAAGCCTAATTTTATACTGTAAAATTGAGTAAGAGGCAACAACCTCACTGGGAAAGAAATCTTTGCCAGGACTTAATAATCTGAACTTAAGAATTAATGTAATATTAAAATGAGAAATCCATATTTTTACCATCCCAGAAATTTCTCCCAACTCACATAGGCAGCAACTGCATTCTTACTAGAATTACTTTTACTAACCTAGAATACTACTTTTGAGCATTCCACCCACCACAGACCCAAAAGAGTATCTATAGGGCTGTAACTAATTTTGAGAAGTTTCCCTTGACATATAAGGTTAAGGTCCAGAAATTAGCCTTCAAATAGCTGAAAACAGCAATAGTCCAAGAGCTCATCATTGCAGTGCCAAAGAAGTAAAAAATCTCCATTGTTTCCGAAATGCTGTTATTTATATCGTTATTCCGTTATCTCCTTCTCTAAGCTTCTCTTTTAAATATGCAGTTTTTAATAGGTGGAAGCAATGATCTATGAATGAACAAATAGTAACATGATTCTATCCCAAAAGGATATTTGGCTCAGACGTAATATTCTTCAGACAAACGACTTTAGTTAATAGACACATTACTGAGATTAGAACCGAAGAGATTCATAATAATGATCATATGTTTTATTAATAATTATCACCCTCAGGTTTTTAAATTTTGAAAAAACACATCTAGAGTCCTAGAATTAAAAAGATTTTCAAGGGAACTGAAAAGATTTGTTATTCCAACCATATGATGCATTTAACAACACAGGCCTACAGAGAACTCAGGTCACACAGTATTTCGTCACTGGGAGCTCACAGAGCATATTTGCGTAGATCATCCCATGATTCCAAAACCTGCTATCTGGGGCTGAGAGAATCCATTTCCAGCAAACAAGTTCTATCTCCCTCAACCACATGTAATCATCCACCACATAATCCTGGGAGGATCATAAATTTTTCATAAGAAGAAGGGGCAAGGGAAAAAGAAAACAAAATGAAAAGAAAGAAAAATGGAAATATGGCCTGAAAGGGATGGAATAAAAACATGTATTTCTACTTGGCATAATGCTAGATTAATGCAGTGTCACCAAGCTTTCACAGTGTAAAGTACAATGAGGAATCAGCCACAGACTTTGACAGATTTAAAGTGTGTAATATGGTTAATACTCTGAGATTCAAAAAAGTTTTGTTATTTTATAATATGAAGATTTCAGCTTCACAGTCTCCAAACAGGAGAATACAAAGGAATTGATTCAATCTAAGGTTAAAAGTAAAGACCACCTAAGGCTATTTTAACATCTATTCACATACACACACACACACTCACTCTCTCTCTCACACACACACACATAAAGCTGTGATAGCATACTACAAAGTATTTTGACTATTTCCCTCTGTATTTTTCATTCATCTATATTCTGCCCTCCTCACCAGACATTAAGAAATTTATCAAGAATGTTTAATTGCTCTCTACTCTCAAGAGGATCTTTATCCATAATTGTTTCAATACAGTTAGAGGAGTTAGTTACCTTTTATCCAACAAGTCTAAAAAAATATAAATGAAGAGTAACAGAGATCCCTGATGGGTTTCTAAAATAGTAAGTTACATTAGAAAGATGGGTGAGCTATTAACTTTAATTAATTCACTTAGAAGACCACTGAGAAACTTAAAAGAGCAATGGATGGTTGGTGACCAATGAATGACAAGGACTAGAGAAGAAATGAACCATGAGACAGGGAGAGGAGAATATTCTTATTTTAAATCCTGTCCCAAATAGCTCACTAGAATTCAAGGTAAACGAAAATCAGAGTGAGTGATCAAGGAGTAAGGGGAATAGATACTGCAGCTTCTTTATTCCATTTTTCAGATACAGATGATTGTAAGCATTTTTAGTGAGAAACTTAATTTTCTAAGTAAAGAAAAATAACTTAGGGGTAGAAATTTCATAATGTTGGTGTAGAGACTCAAAAGATTATTTTTCTCTGCATAAAAATTACTGAAAATTAGACAGTTATGGGAAATAGACCCCCCAAAAAAGCCAAAGATGAGAAACACTTCACATTCAAGGCCAGTGGTTAGAGGTACAAGGGTACTGAATGATGGAAACTTGAGAGCTGCAGTCAGTCCTCACCCAGAGAGAGCCTGTGTCCCTCGCTGCCAGGGTAGCAGGCAATGCTAACATCTTCGTGGTGGCTGCAGTCATGCTGTCCCCACTGTCGCCTGGAACACTGAAGAAATCTGGTTTCCTTCCCTGAGCAGCTGACATCATCCAACCATATGGGCCCTGTGCTTTCTTCAAAATGGTTGGCAGATGCTTGTTTACCATATCTGCGACAATTAAATAAACACTGTGTGTAGAACTGCTCTATCTTGGTTCAGGGAACCACAAAACATTTAACACAGGCAACCTAGCTCAGTGACATGACTTCAGAGGGGAAGTATCTGTTCTTTCTCCTACCTTGGGGACTCAGTTTAGAGCTATGTTTGCTCCATCACATGTTTTAATCACCTTAAAAATGTTTGATTATTTCAATGAATAACAAATGAGAAATTAATACTTTTTCCCCATTCATTCTTGTGTTTTCTCTACAAAACCAATCAGAGAGAATGCAAAGAGATCAATCTCAAATTCCTGACCACAGAAATTATGACCAGAAAGCGAGAACACTTGTCTCGTTTTGCTTCTGATGCTCCCTCTAACTCATTTGATTTCAGCAGCTTTTCTTTGGTTTTCTCTCTTTCAAAATGAAAAGGGTGGATTAGTTCACTGATTGCTCAAGCACTATACCTAATCTATGATTAAATTTAGATTTCAGCCCATCAAAATCAGAATTATTAATATTCTTAGCTTTTCGTAAGGTATACAAATTGAACCTTAAAAATTTTTATCAATTATATTTGTGTTCCAATTGAGTTTATTTGTAACACTGCACTACAGAAACAAAACCTAAATGTATAATAAACATATATGCTGAAGAAATAGGAGACCTGAAATTTTTTTTAACTTAGAAATTAAGTAAATCTGCACCTTCTTTCATCTTCCCAATTTTATTTCCTTTTGTCCCATAAAATCCAAACCTCCAGAAGTCACTGAGCTTACAAATCTTTAAGACGTCTTTCAGTTCTAACAGTCCGTAAGATCCAACTCTTACTCATAATAATAATTCCCTTACTTGATGTTTTTATTATTTCTGTACTAAGAATACGAAGAGATCTTTCTATCTGACATGAATTTTATTCATTTTTTTCTATGCAAGTATTAATTAAATTTATTTGACAAAATGAATATTTTAAAAAATTAAAACAATGAAGCTTTTTAATCATTCTATGGCTTTTCTTCCTTCTACTGCTGACTAATCAAGCCTTGGCTAGAAAAGTAATAAGCCTAAATCGCATATTGTTCACTTTTAACTTATAGACCATTTTTTCACAAAATACATTAGATTATCATCTATCCATAGCAACTACGTAACAGATAACAGGAAGTCATTTTATTTTTGGAATTGCATTTATACAAAGAAACCCAAAGTTTACTTTTTCTCATTACAAAAGAATATTCTCTTTCAAAAATTCCTCTGTAAACTAGAAACAAATGTAGCACATGCTTTGACTGCCTTCTAACACAATCATTTAGAGCTTTTTACACACATTATTGGGAACATTTTTAAAACTAATGTGAATACTCTGCATAGATTTGTGAAACAAAATAAAATATGAAGAAAAAATCAGTGTCAAGTGTTTTCATTAATAAGGAAAAAAATGTGAAAAATAGAAATAGCAGGAATTATGAATCTCTCCAAATGTGAAAATAGAAATAACATGATTTTATGAATCTCTCTAAATCTGTGAAAACAGAGTATAGTTGGCAGTCTAACAGAGATTCACTTAAATATAAAGTGATATTTATTAAGTAATTCTTATCGTCAGTATATTGTATTTATTTGGCTGTTATACCCTTTTACCCAAAAATTACAGTAACTTCTCTGCCCAAAAAAAGACAAAATAGGGGGAAATTATATGAATATTGTATCTTCATGACAGCATTACTTATCATAGGAAAAATTAAGCTAACCTAATATTAAGTAAATTAAGAGTATGAAAACTTGATGGATACTGTTATTATTAAAAATTGTGACTATAGCAATATAAGGTTAAAAATGTGGATAAAAATTACATGTCCATTACTAGAGCTGATATGAAGTTATGTACCCAAATTATGATAGCATAAGGATAAAAAATATGGAGATTTTTATTTTCATCATTTTCCAATGGTTTTACATTACTTTTATAAATTTTAAAATATATGTTTAACATGACTTTGCCTAGCTTGAATGAAGGTATGATTTTAAAGTGTAGTGAATATCTGCAATCAGCTCTAATCAAGCTAAAATGAAATAATTTTGCCAGTTTTTTTAAGCATAAGACAATTACTTCAAGCATGACAGAAAAATATGGAAAACAAGAAAGAATGGGCATTCATAGCTTTCACTCAAATATTTAACTCAAAAGCATCATTTGCAGTTACTTTGACCAACTTAAGTCTTTACTATGGAATGCATTATGTGCGTGACATAAAATATATGTCCCAAAGTGTGATACTCAGCTTTTAAGAGAGTGAGGTCAAAAGCAAGTTCTAAAGGTCATCTCCTAACAAGAGGGCTGTTTTTCTCAAATAAAAGTGATAATTATCATCACATTCTGAGAAAGGGAATAATGTGATACCAAAGCATTTGACACTGGACTTCTCTGCAATTTTAGACAATGATGTCAAAACTAAAAACACCCAATAGTAATGACGTGTCAGAATAAAAATGAGCATTCAAAGTCTTACTTGAACAGATACAAGGGGACTTAGAGGTCACCCAGGCTTTAACTAGTTATTCAAGAAGAGGGGTCATGGCAGGAAAGGTAAATGAAATAAACAGCAAGAGGTGGTTCTTCATCATCTTAGAAAATGTCATTATTTTTCATTGTTGTACTTCCATACACAGGTAAGAGAGAACATGTATTTTTATTATTATAAAAATAACAAGTAGGGATTAACATAATAAGACTTTTAACAATATAATCTGGCATTTAACTGCCTTTACATTAATGAACCTTACTTAAATCCCAACTGTCGACAAACCACGTAAGTATTCAGCTCAGTCCAGCCATCATCACAGACAGTACCCCACTGGCCTCTGTAATACACCTCCAAGCGACCCTCATGGCTGCCTTTCCCACCTGCAAGTCTGATGACCCCATCTGTGATAAGGAGGAGACACAGAGACTAAGCAAATCAACTTTAAGAAAAAGGCAAAACATTTGTATTACACAAGAAATATCACCATATTCAGTCCTCTCTCTAGGCCTTTTGCTAAATTTATACTACATCTGTGCTAAATGACCCTCTGAAGTTATTGCGTTGTTTCTGAAGTTTGACATAATACATTTCTGTCCTAATAAAATACTCTTTCCACTTGATGTGGTGGCACATGCCTGTAATCCCAGCTACTTGGGAGGCTGAGGCAGGAAAATCGCTTGAGCCCAGGAGGCAGAGGTTATAGTGAGCTGAGACTGCACCACTGCCCTCCAGTCTGGTCAACAAAGCAAGACTCCGTCTCAGAGGGAAAAAAATATATATGCATATATATTTTTTTCTTTCCTTTTTATTGGTACTCCTATTCTCTATGTAGAAAAATGTATCCTGATATAATTCCAAAGTATCTATTTAGATTTCTCTAGATTAAGTAATATTTGGTAAATTTCCTATAACTTTAGTCTCAGGTCGGAGCAATACATGTCATTTAAATTTAAAAAGAAAATACAGTAACTTGGAAATAGCTTAGAATTTTAACTGCAAATGAAAAAAAATATTGAAACAAGATGACAGAAAAAACTATTCTGGATAAAAGACAGTCTGTCATGTCAATGCATATATTACTAGTTAGGCATTCATGAATTATAAAAACTGGAAGACATGTCTCGCCTTTGTTCTTTTATTGATAATACAGATCTGAATTTGAATCTTATTAACTCAAATAATAATTAATTTGCCTATAATTCTATAAAGAGCTTCTAAGCAGATAAATAGTATAATAAATTTAACTCCAAAAAAGTAGATTTAAAAGCCATTTCCATCCAAAATAATCCAAAAACTCTCAATGAAAAATATAAATAATCTTGGGTAAGGGTCATACTCTTCATGAATCTCAGGGATCTTTTAAAGTAAAGGTCTCTGAGCAACAAACCATTTATTAATATAACACTTTACTGTCTGCAAAGCATTAGGACATGTATTATCTCATCTGAGCATCACAGCAATGTTACAAGACTATCCTCCTTTGAAGGAGGGGAAAATGGCAGTTCAAAACAACGAAGTGCTCTGGCTAAAAATCTGGTGTAAATATATTTCTATGGTGTATTAATGTGTTAATCTGCTAATAAAAACACTGCATGTACAGAAGTATGTCAAAAGAAAGATATAAATCTGGTATTTCATAGATTCTAACAAGTTATTGATTTTCACTAAAGAAATATGTAATCAAAACATTTTTTTCTTCAAGTTCTTTTTACTAAATGGTTTCTGATGAGTCAACTTCTCTTGCCTTGTCCATTTCCTTCTTCTTTTCCCTAAACATGTAAGTTTAACATACACACACACCAGTTTGTACTCACATATGCCCTTCTTAAAACACATGACACGTTTTGACAGGCAGGCTGTCATTTGGAATAGCCTGAAAATTGTGCACAGCAAAGTTAACTCGGTTTCTTTCACAGTGTGCTTTAATCAACAATTGCATCAATACCAGTTCTAAACACATTCTGAGTCAAGAAACGTTAACAGGTGAATGGACTAAAGATGGAATTATTAAACCTAATATCTGGAATGCATCACTGCACACTGATTTTGACTAGTGGGTACTATATACTGCAACAAAGTCCTATTTTCTGATCTAGCTTTACAAGACTATATTGCCTTAAATTGAAAAATACAGGAGTAACTACAAATACAAAAATGGCATTTTAATATAGTTTGCATACTTTTTATTTGTTTTATTTGGTGTATTTATTTGAATGCTCATTTGGTAATGTTCAAATTAAGGAGAAGGGAAGCTGTGGCAGGACCACATGGTACTGGGGGCAAGAATTGGTATATTAATGGAGTAAAATCCTTACCTGTTAGAGGGGTACAGGACACTCCAGCATCTTCTTTATGGCCACAGTTATGCTCTCCCCAGGAGCTCTTCGGACATTGCTCAATTGAAAGCTCATTCCCAGTGCAGCGTACTTCATCCAACATAACTGGGCCAGACCCTTCCCCAAAATATGCCTGATGCCATGCTTTGGCAATGCCACTGAACAAATAGAAGAATATAAGGATTCTGGATTAGATACCAAAGATTGGTCTTTTACTTTTTTTTGTCCCTAGTAAAAGTGTTATTATCAATCCCCACTTATTAATTCACTTCATAGGTCATGTATGACTTTCTGTATTTCTTTTTTTGTGCATTTGTTTGTTGTCCTTTATATTTTCAGCTATTACATGTGTTTCAAAGCTAGGTACTCCCCAATATTTAACCTCTTTTTCTTCGTTAGTAATTGAACCTCAAATTTTTAGGAGGAAAATGGCTATCCAAAATAAAGATCACATTTTGGCCTCCCCTCCTTCTTGATGACTAAGTTTGTTTGTTTGTGGTAAAATAAACATAACATAAAGTTTACCATTTAAAACACTTTTGGTTTATAGTGCATTAAGCACCTTCAGATTATTGTATAATATCACCACCATCCATCTCCAGAACTTTTTCATCATCCCCAAATAAAACTGTGCTCCCATTTTAGACACCTAAGTTTTGTTTTTGTTTTTGTTTTGAGTCATGGTCTCACTCTGTCACCCAGGCTGGAGTGCAGTGGCATGACCGTAGCTCACTGCAACCTTTAACTCCTAGGTTTAAGCAATCCTCTCACCACAGACTTTTGAGTTGCTAGGAATACAGGTGTATGCCACCACATCTGGCTAATTTTATTTTTATTTTTTATTTTGAAGTGGTGGGGTTTCAGTATGTTACCCAGGCTGGTCTTGAAATCCTGGTCTCAAGCAATCTTCCTGCTGCAGCCTCCAAAAGTGCTGGGATTCCAGGTATGAACCACCGCACCCAGCCATAAGTTCTGACCAGTGATACTTAGGCGGAAGTACCATGTATTACTTGTAGAAGTATCTTTGTGCCACTTCCTCCTCCTGACTGCAAGGATGGCTGGAGCCTAATAAGTTATCTTGGGCCATAGGGTCCCATATTAAGGATGACAGAAGTGCAACCTGGGGCCCTAATGATTGCAGAACCACTAAACTACTCTTGAGCTGGCTACCTCTAGTCTCTTTTCCTAAACATGAAATAAACATGACTCTAAACGTGTTTAAACTGCTGTTATTTTCAGTTCTTTGTTACTCACAGCCAAACCTATTTCTTTTTTGATGTTGCTGTTGTTTTGAGACAGGGTCTCACTCTGTTGCCTCGGCTGGAGTGCAGTGGTGTGATCATGGCTTAAGGCAGCCTTGACCTCCTGGGCTCAAGTGATCCTCCCACCTCAGCCTTTTCAATATCTGGGACTACAAGTGCATACCACCATACCAGTGAATGTTTTATTTTTTGTAGACATGGGGTCTCACTATGTTGCCCAGCCTGGTCTTGAACTACTGCATTCAAGCAATCTTCCCACCTCAACCTCCCAAAAGTGCTAGGATTACAAGTATGAGCCACCATGCCTGACAGCCAAGTCTATTTCTAACAAAAACATCTCTTTACTGAAGTTTATTTGTAGTAAATTTACTTCCCCCGCAATTCAAAGCAATAGCGTATTCTTAAAACCCCAGATCTAAGTGAAGATCATAAACCTGTCAAAGTGATTAATAATTTCAGATATTGCATTTTCAGTCCCTTTTAGGTTTTTAATTTTTAGACTATAGCATTTATATTTTTAGTTTGTTTTTCAATGATACTGCATCTATTCCCCCATTATTTTAGCTGCTCTTTTCTTATAACATTATAACTTGAGAATTTACAACAAAATACATTGAAGAAAAAAAGTGTGCTAAATGGCTGTAACACCCCAGTAATGGTAAAGTGTTAGATATCAATTTTGTGGCTAAAAAGGAGCCTGATTGACTATTTCTGCTAGATAACAAGGAAGTTTCTTTTAAAAGAACACGTCTAAGAAAACAAAAATATCTAAAAGTTAACACCTGTTTTAATATCATTAGAGGGCTGGACGCAGTGGCTCATGCCTGTAATCCCAGCACTTTGGGAAGCCAAGGTGGGTGGACTACTTGAGCTCAGGAGTTTGAGACCAACCTGAGCAACAGGGCAAAACCCCATCTGTGCAAAAACATACAACAATTAGCCAGGTGTGGTGGCACACACCTGTGGTCCCAGCCACTCAGGAGGCCAAGGTGGGAGGATCGCTGGAACCCAGGAAGTCAAGGCTGCAGTGACCCGTGATCATGCCACTGCACTCCAGCCTTGGTGACAGAGAGAGATTCTGTCTCAAAATAATAATAATAATAACAACAATATCATTAGAGCAAACGCTTTGGAAATGCTCTATCATCACCTGACTCACTTTCGGTTTAAAATTCAAAGAGTGTGCCAAGAGGAAGGATAAAAGAATATTATAGGAGGTATAGAGGAAGCTGAGGAAAAGAAGATTGCTTAAGCAAAATATTTTCATGGAGTTAACATTTTAAAATTTAGAATCCTGGCACTTGGATCACTATCTGATGTTTGTAACACAGTGGACTCTGAGCAATCTGCCCCAACAAAAATTAAAGACTAATATCTAGAACTAATAGGACAAATGTGAGGAAAACATTTGGAATTCTAACACAAATGCTGATTGGAGTCCTAACACAAAGGAATCCTAACACAAATGATATTGTCAAAATGACAATTTTGTGAGTGAATTTGTTTGTTTTGCTAAGGGAAATGTAATGACAGAACAGAAAGTCATGTCTACTCCAGAAAGAGGCAATAAATGCTCAATTAATAGAATTGTTCCAAATAAAGTTTTCAGTTGTTTCGAAGCATGTCTATATGCCTATAGAAGAGTGCACTAATCATGTATAAATATTTGTGTATTACTGACTATGTCAAAAAGCTTATTTTTTCTAAGCTCAATCTTTGAAGTGGAGAAGTATATGTGGACACAGACTCTGAGCTTCCAATCTGGGCTCTACCTTCAACAAGCTGGGCTACCTTGGGGAAGTTACTAAAACCTTCCAGGCTTAGGATGCAACAGCTGAATACAGGGATGATAACGGCTAACTTGCAGGGTTGTAGGAATTACAATGATGCAAAGTAGCTCAATAAATGCTACTTCACTTCTCTCTTCTGGCACTGTTAAGGAATCCCCATGTACCCCCGACAGTTGATAAATAACGTATTTTTCACTGCTAAACAATTTATCTAAAGACCGTTTAGTATTTAAACAAACACCATAGTTGTTGCTTTCCTTCATCCCCAAAAAGTAAAGTTGGGGGAATGGTAAGGAAGGGAGAATCAATCAGTATCTTAACACTTTCTGGTTTTAATGTTGTTTCATTTATTTATTTATTTTAAAGTAAATTTCAAAGAAATATTTATGGAAGAATTTATGGCCTATAAGAGACTGAACAAATGCATGTATGTGTTATTTTTTATTACAGATTATAAGGTTATGGCCCAGAAGACTATTAAGTAAGCTCTGACTTGCATCACTAAACTTCAGATTTTCCTGTGATAGAGATATATCTAATCAGAGGCAAACATTTTCAAATATTTTAATGCACATAAAGTATTATATTTAAAAAAGTTATTGTGCCAAAATAAAACATTTTGTGCAATTAAAGCACTGACGTTCCTAGAAAAATATGTTTTAAAACAAAATGATCTTGCAATAGTAGTGTACAAGGCTGTGAAAAAAGTTCAACTGTTTTAAAGATCACTTATAGTAGAAAAAATACCCTCTCCCAGAAAAAAAAAAAAAAGTTCATAAAACACTTACAGTAAGCTGGGCACCGTGGCTCACAGCTATAATCCCAGCACTTTGGGAGGCCGAGGTGGGTGGATCACCTGAGGTCAGGAGTTTGAGACCAGCCTGGTCAATGTAGTGAAACCCTGTCTCTACTAAAAGTACAAAAATTAGCTAGGCATGGTGGCATCTGTAATTCCTGCTACTTGGGAGGCTGTGGCAGGAAAATCACTCGAACCTTGGAGGTGGAGGTTGCAGTGAGCCAAGATTGCACCACTGCACTCCAGCCTGCCTGGGTGACACAGCAAGACTCCATCTTAAAAAAAAAAAAAAAAAAGGATTACAATAAATTAAACAAGGGAGCAGTTTAACACTCACAGAAAATGAAATTCAAAAGTCATGTAAAAGCTGTAATTCCCAGAATTTGGGGATGGAGGGTAACTGAAATGTATTGTTTGTAATATGTTTATGAATATGCTAATATTGGTTGAAAGACGAAAACTGCTTGGAGTTATGTGCCTGCCTGAGACCTGTGGCTCCTTTTTACAGGGAAGATACAGGACAGGAGGGAAGAAGCCCTATGCCCTAGAGGAGAGGTCAGCAAAACATGACCTGTGCACCAAATCCAGCACGCTATCTGTTTTTATATTGCTCGTCAGCTGAGTGGTTTTTAAATTTTACAAATGCCAGGAAAAATATCAAAATAAGAATATAATTTGTGATGTGAAAAATCAAGCGAGATCCAAATTTTACTGTCCAGAAACCAAGTTTTATTGGAACGATGCCACATGCATTCCTAAGTTATTGTCTGTGGCTGCTTTCATGCTACAATGGCCCAGCTGGATAGTTGCAAAGTCTATGTACTCTCGCTCTTTACAGAAAAAGTTTGCAGACCCCTGCTCTAGAGCAAAGAGATTAATGAAAGCAAATATGGAAACTGACTTAGAGATCACTGAGAGTTGAAGGACAAAATAGGAGACAGGATGACTGATGGAGAAGCCAGATAGGAAAGCTCTAGAGAAAGGCAGATTAACAGGCTTCTTGCATCTTTGCCCTGAGATAAATGCCACCAAAAAAAAAGAAATCAATTTGAAGAAAATTTCAATGAGTATAATTCATTGAGCCATGATTAGGTGCTATAAGGAAACCTGGGACCAATATGGAAGAATATAAAATTGATCCCAAACTCAACAAAAAGATGAAATCCAGATGGCTTAAATATAGGGGGAAAAAAAGAAAAGAAAGAAAGGAGGGAAGGAGAAAGAAGGAAGAGGAAGAAAGAGAAAGAGAGGAGGAGGGAGGGAAAGAAGAAAGAAAATAAAGAAAACTAAAAAGTTACTATACTAAAATA